TTGGCCGCTTCCCTTTCCTCGTAGTCCATGTAGGCTTTGGCCTTCTCGAGGAGGGCATCAAACGTTCAGGGTGGTTCGATGCCCACGGCTTTCCTGAATTCGGTGCTGGGGAGGAGCCCCCTCTCCAGCAGGTATCTCTTCATATGGTTTGTGCAAGGGACCTAGATGGCTTCCCGATTGAAGCGGTTGATGAATTCCCTCAAGGTCTCGTCGTGCTTTTGGATGATGGCCTCGAGCGCCGCTTCGGTCTTCGGGTGTCGTCGTGATGCAGTGAACGAGCTGATGAACTGGTTCTTTAAGTTTTGACACGGGGTAATTGACCCCAGGACGATACCCTTGTACCAGTCCATAGCTACTTTCCTCAAGGTCGTGGGGAACAACCGACATTTGATTGGTCCCCTGACGTTGTGGTAGTGCAGCATGGCCTCGAACCCGTCTATGTGGTTGACCGGGTCGGCGACTCTGTCATATTCTTTCAAGTGGGGAGGCTTCTCCATGCCCGGGGGAATGGGTGCCTCCATGATAGCTTGTGACAAGGGACCGCGGGGGTCGTCCTCGTCACTCTGTTCCGGGGAGCGGGATGGGGATCTGAAGTATTGTCGGTCACGATGGCGCTGGTCGTGCGAGACGTTCCTCGAGCGATGTGACTGTTGATAGATTCCTCCGTGTCTGTCCCTGAGAGGTATTCGTTCTTTCTGCGAAGGGCCATGGTCGCGCCTTCCCGTATCGACGAGTGGTTCTCTCTCCAAGGGGGGCCGCCGCCCGATTAGTCGAGGCGACGGGCTTTGAAAGATGTCCCGATCCTGTCTCCGCGGGGGAGATCAGGTACGTTCCTCCATCCGTCGAGGAGGAGGGGATTGCAGCCTCCAGTGTCTTCTAGGGGGCCTTCGGTCATCTTCAAGTGCTCTCAATCTTTCCCCCTGGGCAAAGATGAGATAGTTGGTCTGGTTAATCGCCGCGAACAGTGCCCTGGTCGTGGCGTCTGTCCCGGCGGGGACAAGAACTTTATGGAATTGGACGGCTGGATAGTTCAGAGGAGCTGGGTGATCTTCTTCAAGCCGAGGAGGGATTGATGAAGACGAGGCCGTGACTCCGTCTTGGTAGTGAGAAGGCCCGGGGATGTTGCCGCTAGGGACCGTGTTATGGCCGATGATGCCGGTGTTGTCGGGGCCGACATTATTATCGGCGATGTTGTTGTTAGCTTCAATGACGTGGACGTTTTGGTTGTCCTGAGTCTGGTCAGCCATGACAGTCGAGGATGGTTTTAGCTTTGTTCTTTTTAAGTGAATAAGACGGGGAAGCTTAGATTCCCACAGACTGTGCCACTGGTCGTACCTGATCAGAGTTGGACCGTCACAACTGGCTTTGAATTGGATTTGAGGGAGATGGGGGGTGGGGGGTATCTGCAAGACACTCTGATGACAAAGTGAGAGACGGAATGAGCAAGCAAGTAAGTTTATAGTTATGAATGAATGAATACCTGATCCTCTCGAAATAAAGGGTATTTATAGCCCCCAGTTCTGGGCCAAGGTCCCTTTATTGGGTTGATCAAACAAGCCCAACAAAGGGACTGCCAGGTTCTACGTGAGTAGTAGGGACCTGCACGTGGTCCCCTACCTGGATGATGCTCTCCGCAGAATAGGGAGGGTAAAGACGCGATCTTTTCGGGACCCTGAGGACTCCGCGAAATCTGGAGAGGTTGAAAGTCTGCCTTACGAGGAGGGTACTCGAGCAGGGCTTGGATTGGGATGTTCCTCGTCTGGGACGTTCCTCGTCGTGGACGTTCCTCGCGGGCACCGGGGTGGCGTAGTCGCATTCGACCAGTCACCCATGATCAGGGTGTGCTCGGAGGATCTAATGCTCATCATGATACGTGTGAAGCTTGGATTGGGTCTCACTGGTGATTGGGCCACGGGCAGGCCCAGTCCAGAACAGAAACTAACAATTATTACAAAAGTAGAGAAAATAAACCTCCAAAATAAATGAATGATGTTGTATGAAGTTGAAGGTGGTGGTGGTGTTGTTGTAAGGTTGATGATGAAAATGGTTTGTGTTGTTGTAAGGTTGAAGTAAATGGTGTTGTTCCGTTGGTGCGAGGTTAATGAAAAATGGCGATTTTCTCTCAATTTCAACCTGCCTCCTTTATGCGCAAAAATAATTCCTTTTAATGAATGCTAACATATCTTTTTATACCCAAGTACTAGGATTTTCTATCAAGCAATTTTTTATTTTTTTTGTTGTCAAATTGTGTGTGTGTGTGTGTGCGCGCGCGCGCGTGTATAGTGTGTAGTAGAGGTGGAAAGATAGTGGTGATATCAACTTGTACTAATTTTCTCCAAAATGGTGGGAAAACCACCATCCTAATGAGAAAAGAGAAGGTATAATAAAAAATAGCATTTTTTGCGTCTTTCTTGATTTCAATTTAAAAATAAAGTGGAATAATTAAACAAAAATAAAATTGTTTAACTAATAGTCCATTTCAAGCAAAAAAAATCATTAAAATTTAATTTAAACAAATATTTTGAAATGTATTTTTTCAAAAGAGGTGATTATTGATCTTAGATAAATATTATTTTAAATGGACTGTTCATCATATCTATATAAGAAATTAAAAAGAAATATTTTTAAAAAATAAATAAAATTATATTTATTTTTTAGAAAAATTAAAAATGTTAGGGAAAATTGAGATACTACAAGTTCTCCTAATTAATTATTGATCTTATCGGAACCAGAGTGATCTGTAACACTTGTGCTTCAACGGTTGTTGGAAAAAATGAGAAGGTGTACCTGCAAGATACTCTGATGTCAAAGTGAAGTTCAGAGTGAAGATAACAAGTTTAAAATGTAAGAGTGAATAGAATATAATACTTGACCCTCTAGTGAATGAGGATATTTATAAAGCCTCAAACGATGAGTCAAGGTCCCCTTTGTGGGCTGGATTCCCAGACTCAAAATAGGTGACTGCCAAGATCCTACGTGGGTAGGGAAGACCAGCATGTGGTCTTCGTCCTGGGTCAATTGTCCTGTGATCCTCGGATTATAGAAGACTCGTTCTTCATGTAGGGCAGAACGACTTCGTGGGATACAGAAGGTAGATGGCCACGTGTCCTTGGAGGGTGTCGCACCACAAAAAAACATAGAATCACCACCAAACTTTATTTATCTTAGAGTGAAGGGAAAATATCGAGAAAAACCCAAAAGGAAGGACAAAATGATCATGCGACTAAGAGAAAGGGTACAGAAGTCAATTACACATGGAAAATGTATTAGCACCCCTCACGCCCGTGGTACTCCACAAGATCCAGTCTTGTTGTTCTATTCAAGTAATGTTTTATATCTAATGCTTACTTGTTAAGGGAATGCATGAATTTCTTAAGAGAAAAAAAGTTTTAAATTATTGTGCTCGCCTCGATCGTGAAACCTTGTGCCTATGTATCCCGTGAATGAATCAGAGCACCGTAGTTCTTCTAAAAAAATTTAGTTTGTTGTGTGTTTTTTATGGGTGATGAACCCTTTTGAAAAAGGTTTTGAGTTACGCTCTCAAAGAAATGTGCCACGTTTGATTTATTTGTGTTTTTATTATTTTGGAAATGGTTTATGAATTGAATCATACTAAAGACTATGAACGAAAGAAAGAACAAAGTTAGGAATGCACCGTCTCATTCTCATCCCACCACTTAAGGCTCGTGATACATGATTCACATCTTTATTTGTCAAGTATTTTTGGAGTTTTGAAGAAGAAAAGAATTTTAGTTTTAAAATGCAATGCGAAAGAGGCAAAAGACTAAGGGAAACTAATCCTATGTTGTCATACATTATTGTCCTAAAGTTTGGGATCAAGGGAACTAAAGCCTAATTCTTATCATGCTTAGTTTTAAAGTCTAAAATCTAATTAATTCAATTTAATCAAGAGATTAAAATTGAATTAAAAATCTTAAAGAAACTTATGAAAGTACACAAACACAAGTAACAAGTATAAATAAATATTGCACATAATCCATATCAAAATAATACCATAAATTACAAACAAGCACATATCATAAAAATGAACAAAATTAGTGATTAAAATTAACAAAAAGAGTTAGAAAAGGAGGGGGGAAAATCTTTTAATGAATTCCTAAAAAGTCTCCAAAAATATAATATTTCCTAGTGTTTTTTATTATGTATTTTTATTGTTAACAAAAACTAGGAAAAGAAATTAAAACTAAAAAATTAAATGAACTGAAAATAGGAGAGTCAGGGGTGCAAGATAACAAGAAGGGTGTTGGTTCAGTAAAGGTACATTGGACTCAGATCAAAGGTCCAAGGGTGAGTTTCTATTACAAGGCCCCAGGTTCGTCCAAAAATACGCTTGGTATGGGTCAGCAGGGAGGGTGGAGCGTAGAGGCCCACGCTGGTTGATCCTCAACGCCTCCTTCTTCTTCGCTTTGCTGTTCTCCCATCCCCGATAAACCACCGCCGCAGCAACCGCTCTCGACGTCCAGAAGCAGCGATTACCCTCACCAAAACCTCGTCCTCGGCCTCATCTCTTCGATACTCCATATCGAATCACCATCAGAGTATTACGCATTTCCGACTGGAGATTCATTTGATGAAACGGAAATGCTTCAAAATACTGAAGCATGTGGATGGTTGGCTGGGGCTTTGCGTGCTTTTGAAGTGTCGAACGTAGATCTTTTCCACTTCTCACAGGGAGACCCGTGAGTATGCTAATGAGCTTCCTCTGGTCTGCAAGTGCTTTTACTTGACTGCTATGGTCTGCTTACTGAACTGTATGAGTTAAATTTGTATGGTGCAGGTTGGTATAAAATGTTAAAGAGTGGACAGTGCTGCATTTTAATGATGATGGTGGCAAGCTCATGGAATGGCTAAAGGGATTGTTAGTAATTTAGATTTATTTGATCTGTTTTTAGAATATACAGGGCTGAAATTAATGTTTTTTCCGGTTCGGATTGTTATGGATTGTGATGTTTTATTTATTTATTGGCCATAGCTGAAGTTTATATGAATTGGACGTGTTTTGTTGTGATTTGGCATCTAGTTTGTCGATGATTTTGTAGGGCTGCATTGTGTACATGGTTATGTTTAATTTTTGCCATCTGTTTTGGATTATTTATGGATGTTGAATTGATGTGATGAAACAAGGTGAAGGGACTTGAAGGAAATGAAGACATATAATGAAGCTTGAATAACATTAAAGGCTTGGCGTGAAGATTTTGTTGAAAATGGAGCATGAAGATAGAAGACTAGGTTAAGGCATTAGGATAGGTTTAGGAATGATTTTTGATGTAAAGGTCTCCATGTAATATACTTTGATGTATCTTCTTGATGTAATGTGGCCTTGAGAATGTAATGAAATTGGGTAACTTTTGATGGAACTTGTATGCCCAACTTTTGATGGAACTTGTAATGCCTTGAAACCATGATATGTGCCTTTGTAGCTTGTCACTTAAATTCCAAGAAATCCAAATAATTTCTTTCCAACTTTGCAAGTTTCAAACAACTTAGACAACTTTTGATCCAAACTTGAATTCACGTCAAACCTCCATGAGAAATTGCATCCACTTAGTGCCATATTTGCATTTTGAAGAAGCCCTACTTCTACGTTTAATCTCATGTTCTCAATTACTCGCATTTGAAACAATTATTTAATTGAGGAAATATGCACTAAACCCTAGTTGTTGAATGATGGATAGATGAACTTAATCTCCTTAAATTTGACCTTGGATCAAACTTAATCCCTTCATTAATCCTTGTATGCATCAATATGCTTTGAGCGTCTCCATGTGACTTTTGATTCAAGAACTCTAATGCTCCATAAGAACTTTAGGCCCCCCCTTCTTGTGTGGGAACCATGGCCACATGCCTTGTGATTTGATGTAACAAGTGAATCTCTTTGATAAAGAACCTAATTAAACCCTAACTTGCCATGGGTGAGATCCTTTACAGATAGCCTTGTCTTGTGAAGTACTTTTGCATCAGTCCTGATAAATCAACTCTACATGGAACCCTTCTTGAATAGCACATTAATTATGGAAATAAACTCTAATCAAATGATGACAATGAACACCAGAAGATGATGTTTGGAGATTTTCCATACCTTAGTGCATGGTGCTTGAGTCTTGAGTTGAAACAAAACCTGCAAAAGATGAGAAAACCTTACTCCACAAATGAAACCCTAGCGCACAAGGGAAGCCTTAGTTCCATGACCATTGATCCAAGTACCAAGCCTTATTGTTAGTGAATGCGTGTAATGTTAGATGACCTAATGGAAGGTATGCACGTGATGATTATGAGATGCATAAGCCAGATGATCTATATGAAAGGATAGGAAAAATTTGGGGTATGACAGAGGGGTACGTGGGAAAACGTCCCCAATGGTCATGACGATGTGGTCCATTTCGTTGGGCCTTCTTCGAGTTAGCACTGGATTGGGCCGTGCCCGACGGTGGGTCAGTCACAGATCAAATCCAGAACAATTATATTTAACTAAAAAATAAAAATGACGATAATTTTCATATAATCTTTGGGAAATATAATTAAATATAAAGGACTCAAATTTTGTCCTTTGCTGACAGAAAAAATATAAGACCGTCTTCAAGTGAAATATTGATGCTTAGATCGTCAGAAAAGTAAATGGTCGTCTTCAATCTAAATGTTAATACTTAGATTGACAAGAAAAGTAAATGATTATTGTAGCGGTGAAAAGTTGAGATTAAGCTATTGATTAACTTAACTCATAAAGTGAAAGTTCTTAGAACAAGATTTGGCTCTGCATATAATCTTTGAGATTTTATGATAACAATGCATATATTTTATATGTAACAATTTTGTGTTACTAATAGTTCTTTAAGTGTGTAGATAAAACATTTTATTTGATTCAGGATTATTGTCTGAAGAATAGTCAAAAATGTGGTTAGCTTGCATCAGACAGACTATTACATCTGGTTCTGATGAAACATCAATAGTTCTAACGGATCCTGAATGTTCACCACAAATAGATCCACGCGTGCTTCTTAGATAAGTTGTTACTTCATAAGTCACAAGTGTGTCTAGAAAAGGAATCTCCTTGTGAAGATCAGATATCAAGACTTTGCTTCTACGTTCAGATATCAAGTTTATGCTTCAACAATCAGATATCAAGCTTTTGCTTCAACGATCAGATATCAAGCTTTTGCTTCAACGATCAGATATCAAGCGTTTGCTTCAACAATTAGAAATCAAGATAAAAGTGCTTCTCAGATAAAGCTTTTGCCTCCATCTAGTTCTTTGAAATAATCTCTGGCTTTGTTTCAAAATCATCAAGAAACCAACATTATTGATTGTCTCGTGCATGTTCATTTATTCACTCATGCTAATGATTAGTTAGATGTTCTTCCTGAACTTCTTGTGGATTTTGAGAATCTCAAAGAAAATGGGGGTATACTTAACCAAGGAACTCAATTTCCAAGGTTGGGATGTTTACTTCAAGCGTCTCCATGCCCCTATCTACACAAGCTTGGTGAAGGAATTTTGGAGATTTCCCGAAGCTGGTGACAAGTATATTGTATCCCATAATTTGAGTGTTAAGGTTGTCATCACTGAGAGATCTGTAGCCACTCTACTTGGGATTGAAAAATCTGGAGGAAAACTAGTTTACCACGTAAACCATAAATCTAAATACCTGGCTAATGTAGTTACTCCTGCTATCTATGCTGAACCCAAAGTAATGCTTCATGAAGGAAAGTCTCCTTCTAAAGTTGTGGATATTTCCAAGAAACTGCGTGTGTGGTTCATTTTGGGATACATTCATCCAAGATCCCCTCACAGTTCATCTAATTTGCTAATGATGATCAAAAATTCATTTTGTTCTATCTGTTGAAAGGAACTAAGATACATCTTTTGTCTCCTCTTTTCAACTATCTAAGAGATACATTTAAAGAAACCAGAAGTGACGAAACCAGAAAGACCAAAAAGACCTACATTCCTCTGGATAGACTGATTTTAGATATTCTGATTGAAAATGGTCTTGTAGACCCTCTAATCAACCTAAAACTCATAGAAGATTTAGTTGCAACAATCGGAAAACCTTTCAATGGAAACAATCTGAAAAGCATGAACATTATGGATAAATCTTGGATTGTGATTAAACCAAAAGCTCATATCGATTTACAAAGTGTAAATATTCTAAGGGTTCCTGTTGATGGATATCCCACCTTTACTAAATGTGATCCACTAAAGATTTTACAAAACTATTTTAACTGTCTGGCAGCCGAAGGCGTTGACACATCTTCTATTTCATATGATGCTCTCATGGATGAACCTCTTGTTACTCTTAAGAGAAAATATGGTTCAACTCAGAAGACAAAGAAGTCTCATCAAAAGAAGCCAAGAGTTCAGGAATCAGAAAAGACTGCTATCTTAGTTCAGATTTTTACTTCTATTGCTCCATCTAGTAAGTCCTTTAATCCTGTTGTTTCCGGTTTTGATTCTAGATCAATTACTTCATCAATGACTACACCATCTTCACATTTTTCGACCATAATTGCAATTCATCCATTCTACCTTATTCATCTATTAATCCAGCTCTCACTTAAAAATCCAAAGTTATAACCTCACCTCAACCCATTCTTCAAACAACAACCTCCTCTGAAACCCTTACTCCAAAAATCTCTTTTACTCCTCCAACATTCACACCCCCAATTTCTCAATCGTTACTTGAATTTACCTTCACATCCATTACATCATTCATACCCATTTTAACTCTAGAAATCACGACTCCCAAAACTCATCATGTAATCACAACTCAACTAACCTTTATCATTGTCCCTTCTTCTGAAAATCAAACATCCTCAGTTATTGTGTCAGAACCCCTTACAATTCCAAAATTTTCACATTCTCTAACACCCTCTTTTTCAACAACCATCACTGCTTCAACACCTTAGAATCCTTCCAACACCTGTGAGCCTTCTGATCTCGATTCTCCTCATCCTATCAATGATGTCATCATCACCTATGGGTCTGATGATTCTAATAAAGCCAATTCTGATGAAAATGGTTTTGACAATGAAATCATTTGTGTTCATCATACCTCTGTTGCTCACCCTCCTAGCCTTAACCTTGATGAAATAATCTCTATATTTAAAGATAATGCAGTAAGAAGAGTAAAGAAACTCCATGAGAATTCCAGCTCCAGTAATGAATCTTCATATGTGAAAGCTAGCTGGAACAGGTTTAACAGATGGATGGCAATTGAAATTCTCAGTGAAATTATGGTATTACTTTAGATGTCTTATGACATATTGGGACATCTGATCTGAATTGAAACACATAGGCAATGTATAAACATACGAAACAATACTGAAAAGCATAAACAACACACCAAAATTGTTAACCCAATTTGGAGCAACTCTCCTACTCTAGGGGCATACTAAGTCAGGGATAAAGTCCACTATAATAGTATCAACTCGAATCTAAACTCCCCCGTTTACAACTTCTCACTTAATCACTACCCGTGCTAACTTTCTATCTAACACTCACCTAGATATGAGCCCCCCCCCCCAATCCCTCACAATCACAGTCAGTGATTGGATAAAACAGGAAGACACCCTTCCATGACAGCAAAACTAGAAGACACACTTCCATGACATTACCTAGCCAAGACTCTTGACTAAGAACATAACTTGGAGTTGCTTAAAAGCTTCCTCCAATAAAAATACTCAACTCATTACCTAAAGGCTTCTGAGTGAGAACAAAACCTTACAACTCAAGGAACAACAATTCAACTTACATGTCAAGTGGATCACATATACCAACTCTCCTAGAGAGTGACTATAGACTCAGCCCTAATAACTACATATTTTCATTCACGCCTGGTACATTTTCCTATGTTACAATGCTTCTATTTATAACCTATCTCTCAACTGGATTTGGGTTTCAAATCACAATATATCAGCTGTTACAAATATGCAGGAGATTCTGCAAAAAAATAGGTCTTCAATCAAATCTTTCCTAAAAAGTCTCCTTATTTAGAAAGTCAATATTCTTCTTGATTCTTCCAGACCTTTAAATCAACGCCATATAGATAACATAATATTCCCATAATATTCTGCATATGTTAAAACATAACAGAATTCAATTGTCTAGCTTAGCTCAGGCGCGATATCGTATGACCATGCATATGATATCTTATCCGACATGTTGCTCCAGATGATGAGAAATTGTCATCTCAACATGTCTTAACATAAAATATGAC